CAATGTAGCTGTTAACTTCAGACCTACCACTTCATGACATCACAAGGTGGAACAGAGCAATTTGAGCTTTGGTGATGTAGACAGACTAATAATAAAGGATTACTCAAATATGTATGCATGGATCAAAACAACTCCAGGTCTGTTTTTGATGAGGTAGCAGCATTATAACTAGGATTGTCCCGATCTGATCACGTGATCAGAAATCGGAGCCGATCACGAGACTGTGTTATGTTCCAATCAGGTATCAGATAAATAATATACATATATAACACACAGCGCACACAGGACACACACAGCACACCACACACAGACAGCGCAACTGTCTGTCCAGCGCCTGCTGTACTAGAGGCGCACTCACGCTGGGACTTTTAGGCCATGTCGTGCTCGGGCGCTGTTGCCTGGGATTCAGTGCCCCGTGATCACACCTGCGCGGCCGATGGCGTCGTTGCACGGTGCTGTTTGTTTGCATGTTGCGCAGTGGAGCTGGGCTTTTGGCAAAGAAGGTGGGGTTGTGGGACTTCTGTCCCTTCATGGCCCTTATCAGGGGTGGGCACAGATGTAACAACTACAGTCTTAAACTCTAGTCTTACTGCAAGTGAATTTAGTATTAAACTACATTATTCTGTTAGAATGAAAGTTCCTGAGAAGTCCTATCAATCAGTTGGACATTGTAAATGTCACAGTTATTAACGTGTGTCCTAGAGGTACAGAATGACCTATGGGGCTGCACAAAGAGAGTTATGTACAATAAATGTCATCTCATTTTTATTTGGTAAGATTTTGGTTTATTTGACTATCATAGACGAGCCTAAATGTTTAAAATATAATGCACATGCTTCCATATAATATCAAATATACAAACTCTAGATTGTGCAGAGTCTAGTCTCAGGGTCTGATCTGGTTATGGTCTGGTTCCTGTTGTGTCCAGTTCATTAAATTTACTAAGTTACACATTCCAAGACCAGACTGTGAAAAGTCAAGATTTTCAACAATGATGGCAAATGGTTAGAAAAGTTAATAAAATTAAAGTTTAGGACATTTGCAATTACAACACATTGAAAATCAAAAATCTGATCCCCCCTCCCCCTCCCCTACATCCTGGATCTTATTCTTTGCTAGGTTTTATAGAAGTATCAGTTCAGGACTCGGTATCGTCAGATACTCAAAATCAAATGACTCAAACTTGGACTCAGGGACAAAAAAAAAAATTGATCAGGACATCCCTAATTATAACATGGCTTAAAGTTCACAAGAATCTATTTTGTGTAATACAGGAACTTTGAAGTCATTATTTAGCCCTATTGTCGTTCCTGCCTTATTGAAAAGATAAATAAACACGTATAGAGCTTTAACACCTTCAAGACACTGTTACATCAAGGAAACACTCACCCAGACACACAAACATTCACACACCACTGTACATAGACACTGGGGGCGAGGGAGGACTAAGTGTCTTGCCCAAAGGCACAACAACAGCATTCATCAGTGGGAGGTGGTATCAATACTGTTTTATGTGGGAGCAGGATTCTAACCTCTGAACTTTGGATCAGAGTTGTGGTCTGGTCTTGTTTTTGTCCTGTGTTTTACCTGGCAGTAGAAGTACAGTGCAGTGGTGGAGATGAGCAGGATGAGAACATGGATCCCGGCTCTCAGGAGCAGGTCTGAGTCTGCCACTGTACAGATGTTAAACATAAATATAATCATAAAACAAAGGATCTTCAAACAGCTAAAGAACTATACCTCCACGACCGATGTACAGGGTCACGTTCTTCATGATTTCACTTGAATTATCTTCACTGTAACCACAGGTGTAGTTCCCTGTGTGTTCAGGACCAAAGGCTGTGAACAGGAAGTGTGCAGAGTGATTGACAGATGGCAGGGTGTAATTCCCACTTGGAGCCAGCAGGTGGAAAAAAACAGAGAAGAATGGTTTATCTAAAAAGCAGGAGACACTGAAGTCTGCACCGGACCTCACAAGAGCCCTGTGCCCCCTGGACTGAAAAACTCCCTCTGAGGAGACCAACGTCTTGACACCAGGGTAGGCGTCTGTGGAGAGAAAACTGTCATGAAATAATCATCAGATTATTGTGCAGTTTGAAAAATATAGTGGGGGATTATAGTCAACCATGTAATCCACATAATCATTTTTAGAAATGTGACAATATAGTACAGACCTGAGCAGATCAGCCACAGACTCTTTTTGTCCTGGGTCTTGTTGGAGATGAGACAGTCTCGGAGGACAGCTCTCCGCTTCACACACTCAGGGTCCAGCCACCAGACAGGCTCGATATTAGAGATATAAGAAATGTTAACTGCCAAACCACAGCCCAGGTTTTGACACAGAGCAGAGCCCAAGTCTAAGTCCAAATCCAAATCCTGGACTGAAGTCGTCACTGGTCTCCATTGGTCCTGGTGTCTCAGATGCAGGAAACCACCACAGTGACGTCCATTGAGCCACAACAGAACATCATCTGGACACAAACAAAATATACGGTGAATATAAAATGTGAGTCATGACAGAAAATAATGATTCATTCGATGTAATGAATGAAGAAATAACTTTAAACAATACATATTTCTTCATTCAATGTAATGAATGAAGAAATAATTTTAAACAATACATATTTGGGTCGGTCCATATGAAATCAGTCACCCTCCCCTATGAGCCATCTCAGATTTGGCTGAAAAAAATTCTAAACATTTCTAAAATGACCAAATGAAAGAATCTTAAATTTTAGCTCAATCCCTTTAGTTGTTCCTTAGTTATGGCCTGTGTTGGAGGGCGTGTTACCTGTGCAGGTGATGTTGGCAGCAGCTGAGCAGAGCGTCTCAGAGCTCTCACAGTCCTTCAGTGCTGCCTCTGCTCCACTGCAGTGAAAGGACCTCCCCACAACAGATCCCTCTGTAATCAACGCCCCCTGGAGGTCAGACACTCCTCCACAATCCAGTTCCCTGCAGATTATTTCAGCCTCAGTCTGACCAAAGCCCTCTGCACACACTGAGCTCCACAACTGGTCTGTGTGCACCTCCAGAGAACCAGAGCACCGGCCTGGACCACCGCTCAACCGCACCGAGTCTGAAAACCACAAACAAAACCACGACAAGTCAAGTGAGGAGCAGGAGGAGGTGTCTGGGGAGAGGGAGGAGGAGAAGGGAGAACTAGGATGTAGAGCTGTACCTGGCGGTGTGGTTAGACGTCCGGTCACAGACGCACTCCATTCAGATCTGAATGCACTGATAAAGATTTCGTAAGAAGTGTTTGACTTCAGGTGGAGGAGTTCTGTAGTTCGTTCATATCCTGGGACAGCTACCAACTTTGTGTAAGGTTTTGTTTCTAGACTAAACTCCCACACCTCGCTGCTGCCACTAAAAGTCCATGAGACACGAGCTCTCCTCGGCTGAATGTCGAAGAAACTCAGAGATTCAGGCTTTGGTTGGTCTGAAAATAGAAGTGAATTTTGTGAATATCCACAAGAATCTACTGCAGAACTATGTTTAAATAGGAAATTCATGAATTCTGGAGGTGTTGGAGATTTCAGATGAGCTATGACATGTCCCACTTACTGAGTGTTTGTGTTTTTTGTGTTCTGAATGGGCCCATTTACTTCTAATAATCCAGTACTTCAGTATTGGCTTGAATAAGTGATCGGGCTGGTCGGGCCCTGCTCACGATACTACTACAACCTCCACCATAACCTGTACTACTGACACCAGTGTGTGGCACCCTCACCTCAAGCCACGTAAAGACTCACTGATCAACTAATTATTTACTAATTCTTCTATTTTGTGATTGTCATTAAGTTCTTAATAGTAAGACTCAGAGCTGCAGTGACTTCAATCACACACACAGATGAAAAAGAAGCAAGACGAGGCAACAACTCACCCAGCTTCTGTTTGATCCAATGACAAAAAGACTGAGTTAAGTCTCTCAAAGTGTTTGAAAAACCACTAAAGTCTTTTACAGTGTAGAATTCAGGCTTATCAAGATCCATGTCAATGTCCTTTAACTCACTGTAATCTGCACCTTTAACTCCAACTATAAACACTTTTGCATTTAAGAACCAAAAACGCTTGATAGTGTCTCTGTTTATGCTCGATGAGTTCCTGTCACTGATCACAATCAGAACATCAGGTGCACTGAATATAGCTCCTTGGTCTGTGTGGAAAATTGTTTCCACAACAGATTCCACAGCGTCAGTGGTCAGGTCTCCAGGAGAAGCAGGACTTTGTGAGATCTTCCTCACTGCACTGACCACAGAGGGCAGATCGTGATAAGTGTTCAGGTAAAACTCAATCTCAGGTTTTCCACCACACTTCACCAGAGCAATCTGAACCGAATCAACAAGACCAACCACACCGAGGATCTGGACCAGAGCCACCAGGAAATCCTTCACTTTGGAGAAATCTTCTGAACTGATGTGGTTGAATCTATCCAGAAACAGCAGCACATCAGCTCTGTGGTCCTCACTCAGAGAGCACTCTGCACAAGACAGGAGACTAATCAACACAACTTGGACCAAATTAAAGTTTAAAGATGTATTATAATTATTTTACATTTTGGCCATTGTAAACAGCAAGACTGAAATAAAATATATTATTGTCATTCTAACAGATTTATTGACTGGTTAAATTTTTTTTTAAACAAATAAATAAATACATAGATAAATGATGCAGAACACCATTATAACATGGTTAGCATTTTTAATGAACATTATTACTTCTTATTCGATGGAGAATTTTAGAGAATAGACTGTTTACTTTTAGACAGGAGGAAATATTTGAGATCAGGAGATGAGAGGTACAGTATGTTTAGGTGGTGTTAAAAAGCCTGACCCCAGTTTTCTAAATCTGAATGAATCCACTGATTCATGGAGCGAGGAGAGGAGAAGAGGAGAGAGACACAGATGAAAGAATGAAGAACAGAAGCAAAGGACAGATATATGTTGGACAGAGTCCAGGTGCTTCTGGAGACGTGTCGGTAGAAAACTAGTCCATGTGAACACATGAAACACGATAAGAAGACAGGTGTAAATGTCCCAGGGAGCAAGAACTCACAGAGTGGATTTTGGAAATACAGAACCTTCTCAAATGACTGAGAAACCAGTGTTTGGACTGCTGCCTCTGTAAACCCTCCTAGACTGCACTTTTTTAATGTGGCTGACACTGAATTAACCAGATCTTCTAATCCATATTACAGGAATATCCCAGGTGTTGACAAGGCCACACAACACCAGACAAACTCCTTTCTAATCTAAACTTGTCCTTTTTGAAGCAGTGAGGAGGTATGTACCTGTTTGAGGGTTCTGTGTGATCTGAGCCCAAGTCCCTGAAAAACACACAGATTAGATGAGTCTCAGTTATTTTAGACCACTCATTGATTGTGTTCAGCATGAACACGACACTGCAGGATAAACCTGTGATCAGCACCACATTTCACATGTTTTGTTTTCTTCCCACCTGATATTGTATAGATGGGCACAATAAAATGACAAATTAAATGTCCTACATTACACAAAATGTTCTTCTTGTGAG